ATCACTTGCAAAGGAAAGCCCATTAGAATCACAGCAGACTTTTCAACACAAACCCTTAGGTCAAGGAGAGCCTGGAGTGAGGTATTCCAAGTCCTAAAAGAAAAGAATCTCCAACCTAGACTTTTGTATCCTGCAAAACTCTCTTTCAAAATAGATGGGGAAATAAAATACTTCCACGACAAAGAGCACCTGAGAAATTTCATGAACACCAAACCAGCACTGCAAGGAATTCTAAACAATATCCTAGAAAAGGACAACGAAATTCACAATAACATGAGGCCCAACAGACCAAATCAAATAGGCAAGGCAAGAAACTAAAAGGAGATGGGAGAAAAAGTAAAAAGAGTCAACAAATGGACAAAAACATGACAAGAATAAGTCAAAATATATCAGTTGTAACCATCAATGTTAATGGCCTCAATTCACCAATCAAGAGAAACAGATTGGCAGAATGGATTAAGAAGCAAAATCCAACAATATGTTGTATACAAGAAACACACCTAGTGCAAAAGGAAGTCCATAGACTGAAAGTGAAAGGATGGAAAACAATTCTCCATGCGTCAGGAGTCCAGAAAAAAGCAGGGGTAGCAATCTTATTCTCAGATAAAGTACATTTCAAACCAAAACTCATTAAGAGAGACAAAGAAAGACACTACATCCTTGTAAAGCGAACAATTCAAGAGGAAGAGCTGACAATCATAAACATATATGCACCAAATATAAATGCCCCCAACTATATAAAACAAATATTAAGTAACATGAAAAACCAAATAAGCACTAATACAATTGTAGTGGGGGATTTAAATACCCCACTATCACAAATTGACAGATCTACTAGGCAGAAAATCAACAATGAAATAATAGAACTGAACCAAGCTTTGGAACACATGGACTTAATAGATGTTTATAGAGTATTCCACCCCCAAAAACCAGAATATACATTCTTTTCGGCTGCACATGGATCATTCTCCAAAATAGACCACATACTGGCTCACAAAACAGGTCTAAATAAATGCAAAAAAATTGAAGTCATCCCCTGTTTATTATCAGATCATAGTGCAATCAAACTAGACATCAATAGCACAAGAAACTATAGAAACTTCACAAGCACATGGAAACTGAACAACACTCTCCTAAACAATCAATGGATTACAGAGGAAATTAAAGAAGAAATTAGACAGTTTTTACAAATAAATGAGAATGCCAATACAACATACAGGAATCTTTGGGACACAATGAAAGCAGTTCTATGTGGAAAATTCATAACATTGAATGCCCACACTAGGAAAACAGAGCGGGCTCAAATAAAAAACTTAACGATGAAACTTAGATTCCTAGAAAAACAAGAACAAGAAAAACCCAAAGCTCGAACAAGAGAGGAAATTATAAAGATCCGAGCAGAAATCAATGCAATTGAAATTAAGAAAACGATACAAAAAATAAATGAAACAAAGAGCTGGTTTTTTGAAAGAATAAATAAAATTGACAAACCCTTAGCTAATCTTATCAAAAAAAGGAAAGAAAAGGCTCAGATCCATGCAATTAGGAATGAAAAAGGCGAAGTCACAACAGATCCGAAAGAAATCCAGAGGATCATGAACACCTACTTTGAGAACCTGTACTCTAATAAAATGGAAAACACAGAAGAAATGGACAGATTTCTAGATACTTATGAATTACCAAAGTTGAACGAAGAAGATAAAAACATTTTAAACACCCCAATCACAATCAGTGAAATTGAAAATGTAATTAAAAACTTACCAACAAAGAAAAGCCCAGGCCCTGATGGATTCACTGCTGAATTTTACAAGACATTTAGAGAAGAACTACTACCATTACTCTTCAAACTTTTCAATGAAATTGAAAGAGAAGCTATACTTCCAAATTCATTCCTGGAAGCAAGTATCACTCTGATTCCCAAACCAGAGAAAGATACAACCAAAAAGGAGAACTACAGACCAATCTCCTTAATGAATATAGATGCAAAAATCCTTAATAAGATACTAGCAAACAGAATACAGAGGATTATTAAGAAGATCATCCATCATGACCAAGTCGGATTTATTCCAGAGATGCAAGGGTGGTTCAACATACGAAAGTCAGTGAATGTAATACATTATATTAACAAAGTCAAGGACAAAAACCATATGATCCTCTCAATAGATGCAGAAAAAGCATTTGATAAAATTCAACACCCATTCATGATAAAAACCCTGCAAAAAATTGGAATAGATGGTCTATACCTCAATTTAATAAAGGCTATTTATGAAAAACCATCAGCCAACATCATATTGAATGGCCAAAAACTGAAAACCTTCATGTTAAAATCAGGAACAAGACAAGGATGCCCACTATCGCCACTTCTCTTCAATATAGTTCTGGAAACATTAGCCACAGCAATTAGACAAGAGAAAGAAATTAAAGCAATAAAGATAGGAAAGGAAGAAGTTAAACTATCATTATTTGCTGATGATATGATACTCTACATTGAAGATCCAAAAAACTCCACCAAAAAACTTCTAGACTTAATTGACAGATTCAGTAAAGTATCTGGATACAAGGTGAATACCCAAAAATCAATAGCCTTTCTATACACAAATAACAGACAGACAGAAAGAGAAATAAGGGAAAAAATTCCTTTTACAATAGCATCCAAAAAAATGAAGTATCTAGGAATCAATCTAACAAAAGAAACAAAAGATCTCTACACTGAAAACTACAGCACTCTGAAAAAAGAAATCGAAGAGGATATAAAAAAATGGAAAGATATCCCCTGCTCCTGGGTAGGAAGAATCAACATAGTGAAAATGGCCATACTACCGAAACTGCTATATACATTCAATGCAATGCCAATTGAAATTCCAACACTATATTTCACAGAACTAGAAAAAAGAATCCAAAAATTCATTTGGAACCACAAGAGACCTAGAATAGCAAAAGCCATTATAGGCAACAGTCACATGGCACCAGGTGTAACAATTCCCAATTTGAAACTATACTACAAAGCCACTGTGATAAAATCAGCATGGTACTGGCAAAGAAATAGGCCTGAGGATCAATGGAACAGACTGGAAGACACAAAAACAAATGCAGATGTACTCAGCTACCTCATCTTCGACAAAGGAGCTCACCATCCTCAGTGGAGGAAAGATAGCCTCTTTAATAAATGGTGTTGGAAAAACTGGATATCAACCTGTCACAGATTAAAATTAGACCCTTATCTTTCGCCATGCACTAAATTAAAATCCAAATGGATTAAAGATCTAAATATTAAAACAGAAACATTAAACTTGCTGGAAAGTAAGTTAGGCAGAACTCTGGAAGACATTGGTATAGGAAAAGACTTTATGAACAAATCCTCAGTAGCACGGGAACTAGCAGAAAGAATCAACAACTGGGATCTCATCTTACTAAAAAGCTTCTGTACTTCAAAAGAAACCATTAGCAGAACTAAGAGACAATCTACAATGTGGGAAAAAATTTTTACCAGCTGTACCTCAGACAAAGGACTATTATCAAGGATATATAAAGAACTCAAAACAATCAGTCCCCCCAAATATAAAGACCCGATCCAAAAATGGGCATCCGAAATGAACAGACATTTCTCATACAAAGAAGTGAAAGCAGCAAGAAAATATATGAAAAAATGTTCCACATCACTGGTCATTCGAGAGATGCAGATGAAAACAACACTGAGATTCCACCTCACCCCACAAAGAATGGCTGCTATCAAGAAATCACACAATAACAAATGTTGGCGGGGTTGTGGGGAGAAAGGAACCCTCCTCCATTGTTGGTGGGAGTGCAGACTAGTGCAACCACTATGGAAATCAATATGGAGATACCTCAAAGAGCTTGGACTGGAGGTTCCATTTGACCCAGCCATCCCTCTGTTGGGTATCTTTCCAAGAGAACTAAAAGAATCATATCACAGAGAAGTATGTGCACCCATGTTTATAGCGGCACAGTTTGTAATAGCTAAATCTTGGAAACAACCTATTTGCCCATCCGTTGGAAACTGGATAAAGAAGTTGTGGTTTTTCTATAAAATGGAATATTACTCAGCCATAAAGAACGAGAAAATAGATTCATTCATAGGAAAATGGATACATATTGAAGATATACTCCTAAGTGAAATAAATAAGTCACACATGTGTAAATACCGAATAGTTTCCCTGGTGTAAATAATCTGCAACAATGCATAAGATTCTAATAAGATTACTGACATTTAGAAATGGGAACAAAGGAGCTAAAAGTGTAGGGAAGGTGTGATGGGTAGGGGAAGAGTAAAAAGGGAAAAGAAAAAAATGTGAGATAATGAAAAGATGAAAATAAAGTGTTTGTAGATGGGGAGGGGAGGAGGGGTGAAGGGAGGTCAGAGGTACGGGGAAAAAATGAGAATCAAGACTTGCCATGTAGAGGTACAAGATCCCAACAATGAATGTAACTGTACTGTATCCCTAAAATGTACCAATAAACTCAATTAAAGCTGAAAAGAAAAAAAAGAGTTCATCTATTTGGGTGTAAGCAAAGCCCTAAAACTTGGTCTGGTTTGGGTTTTTCCCACTGATTGCCTTAGCAAAGTCAATGTGGATGACAATTAGGAATTTCAAAAGAAATTAAAATTCTTTGCAGATTTGGAACAAAATGCAGGCATATTGGTAATTAAGTTTAATATGATTTTGTATTGTTTTCTCACTTTTATTAGAGGTATAAGTAAGTATATCCTTCATAAAAATGTACTTGCAAAATTTGATAAATAACATAGAATTATAACATATAAAATAAGAACAGACATTAAAACTAATCTAGTCTTGCCCTTTCATTTCTACCTCTGAGATTCAAGGTTATTTATCCTTAATTTCATCAAGGCTAGGTTTCCAACACAGGGGGTAATAAATATCATCATTATTACTTTTAAAGCATAGGCAAAATGTTTTAGAATCTTGTAACTCAGGACCTTATCTATATCATTTTCTGAACCTAAGTGTGTATCTTACCTCCAAATCCATCAGGCACGTATGTTTTAAGAACAATATTGCAGAAAATTGTTGGCAGTGACAAAGGTTTATTTCCCTCATTTCGAAGGGAAATGTGTCGATACCCCGCTTGGAGGCCATCCAATGGAAGGATCCTCTGGCCAATCAGCTTGTTGTTATCATCATACACTGCTATTCTTAAAACAGCCAGGTCGGGCAGGATTACCTGCAAACAAGGAATGAGGCTTTTCATTGGTTTTTGTAATTCTGCTTCCAAGAACCAGTACTCTAGGAACATGGACCAAATTCATGCTACTCTTAAATCCCTCCTTATGGTGAAAATAAGTCCACAATCCATTTGCATTCCTGTAGGGTACTGTCCAAACTACAACAACCCAAGGTGTTGAGAAAGACCATCAGAACAGGTTTCATTTCATTAGAAATGTTACATAGAAAGGATGTTAAAGATTTTTGACTTCAATCCTTATCACTTTTCCCCATTTCAACTCAGGATATGGGTGAGAAAAAGGAAAGCTCAAGAAATTGAATGATTTTATTAAACACAAAGATTGTCAGCGACAGAGTAGGGCCTGGGAATTGGAGCCCTTGACTTCTAAGCCTGTGATCTGTCTACTACCTAGGCTGCTTATGACATCTGGATGTCCTGTTTTTTTTTGGGGGGGGGTGGTACCGGGGATCAAACTCAGGTCCTTGCACTTGCAAGGCAGGCGCCAGAACCAGAGCTAAATCCCCAGCCCTGTAGGTACCTGTTTTAAATAAGAAGAAATGTGTCTTTGAAAAAATGCTTCATGTATACGAGACAATTTATAAAAATTTTGGATTTTCCTTGTTTCTTGCCCTCTGTAGTTCCTGACACATTTTAGAATATTAAACAGGAGAGGATATTAAATAGAAAGTTCATTGGATACATCAATCACTATGATTTGATCCCAAGAAACACTGATATACTTTGAAATATTAACATACATTAATTGACTTCCACTGCTGCCATGTTCTAATTGAATAAATGAACATAATATTTGAGTACAGATGGCAAAATGTCTATTCAAAGTAGCAATATGACAAAAGAAAAATCCTGTATATTTAGTCAGGAATGCATTTTTATTGCCTAAGAATAACCAGGAAATGGTGGCTGAACTGAGTACTGTGTCTAAAGCTAGACAATGCTTGCTTGCCTATTTGCATCTGGAAGTAATAATTTTACTCCAATCTTACAAAGAGGAAAGGAAGTCTAGTTAAAATCCAGGTACCTTTCCTCACTTCTGTTCCTCATGTTGTGAATGGGCAGCTTGGGCTTTGCCTTGCAAGATTAGTGCAGAAAAACAAACACAACAATGACAAAGAAGATATACCTAAATTAATCAATATCAGGAAAGGTTATTTTCAACAATAGTGGAGGAATCAGAATTAATATCTAGCTTCCGGTGCCAGAGCTATTATACAAAAAGAAAAAAAAAAGTTTGGTACTTCTTTATTCATCACAAATAAAGAATGTTTAATTCAACATTCTGAATTTCTTTCTGGATTTCAAAATTATGAAGTGTCTAGTGATTATTCATTCTGCCAAAGAACACTATACCAAACTCTAGGTCCTGGTACAACAAATTAGAAAAACCAGGAAGAAAAAGAGACCAGTCACAATTAATTTACATTGTATTCTGAAAGGAGTAGAGCAGGTGATGATAAGCCGTGCATGGATCATGATATTCATGGACCTAAATTTTAAACTATTTTATTCACTCTACATCAATCTTTCTGAATTTGATTTCTGTAAGTCAGCTACACTGTACTGAAATGGCCAATCCCTATTTCATTTAGACAGGAAGCCAATTATCTGTGTTGCATGACATATTCATGGAACAGAACCACTTGGCAAACCTGGCCTAAAGAAGAAGCAATGAATTATTTTGGTCAAGATGACAGAATAGGTAATAAAGAAAAAAGAACATTCATGTAGACAACACTGTCAACTTGTAGATTTTTCAAAGTATCTCAAATTGACAAGAGAGACAAAAAGGGAAAATGATTAAAAGTGACTGTTAGAGGGAGTGATTGTGCCTGTTCTTAGGACCAGCTGACAGTATCAGCAGAACAAGGTAAGACACTGAAACTGCACACGAAGAATAAAACCTGTAACAAAAGGTACCACACTTCCCAAAGGGACACGACTGTATCAGCTGACCCATATGATGACTGTTACTGACCTCACCTTTGGATAAAGCAGATTTTCTGACCTCTTGGCTAAAGAAGCAGTGCAAGTTTCCAGGGAAGAAAAAAAAAACAAAAAAAAACTTTTAATGGTGTCTATGACGGTATCTACCTGGGAGAAGACATCCTCAGTGGTAGCTGCAATCCCACAGCCTAGTTAATGCCACCTGGAAGATGGGTACCTCCAGGGGGAGAAGGAGCCAAAAAAATTATGACAGGTACAGAACTTGTCCATTGGAAGAAAGGGATAAAAAGACATTGAGTTGAATAACGGTTCCTGCATCATGTCATATCTATGTACTGAGTCAGAGTGAGTTTGACGGGCTGATAAGGTCCTACCTTCCGAAATACAAATGATTCTTCATTGTAAACTGGATTCAGTCCATTGTTCATAACCATGCGCGTTCGGAATTCCTTGCGTATGGTATCGGTTGGCAATCCATACATATCTACTTCTACATACGTGCCAATTTTCTTATCTGATAAGAATTGCCCTGATATGACCTGCAGTAACACAGACACAGAATGAAGCAAATGTGAACGCTGTGTAAGTATCATCAGCAGATAATAATCAGGAAATAAGAAATTTTGGGTTCTCCTGTGGGGGGGGGAGTTCAATTAACAATGAAAATATGGATATGGTATTCTTTATTTACCAAACCAGTGCATTATTGGGAAACAACTATACATAAAGACAAAAATAATTTTAGTCAGAAGTTCTATTGATAAGGAAATAGTGTACAACATAGCAGGCCTTTGTCTGCTCCCAATTCCCCCTTGACGTTTTCATGAGGAATCATAAGATGTTTTGTTAAACTATCTGCACTGAAAATGTAATGGTTCAAGTAATGTACTGTTCAAGTGTCCTAACTGCAAATGTAACAGTACAAGCTGCAAGATGTTCCTACCCAACGTTTCAAGATGTTCTGTTTAACTTCATTGTTCTGTTTCTATAAACATGTTTGCCCGGCACATGAACCCAACTTCCCTACCCCATAGATCTCTCTATATAAGGTTGCTTCTATTTCGGGGCTCAGACTTTGGAGTGTGAATTCCTCTGGGCCCTCCAACATCATGAAACGTTCCTCCATCTTTCTGAATGCCCTCAGTTTCGACTCCAGAGACCTTTGGACAGCCATTACACTTGGCTGGAATGCCAAGCTGTCACACTTCGCTGTAACGCTGCCTTCTAAAGCTGTCTAAAAGAATGAAGCAAATACATGAGTCATAGTAATATAGAGTGTCCATCATGTCTTCATCTCACCTAAAAGTGTCCATACTTACAGAATTAAGTATAGATTGAGAGTCCCTAAGGTCCCTGTGTAGTTCTGAAATTCGATCATGCTGTACTTATTACTGAATTCTAAAAGGGACACATAGAGAAGGGACACATAGAAGAACAACGCTAAAACTTGCCTGTTTTTCTTTGATGATATTGAAATTAGTCAGGTAATAGCAATTTTTGTAAAGACAAGTGTCAAAAGCTATCTACTATAAAAGCTAGAGTATTTTCCAAATGACTACAGCTAATAGGTTTTTTTAAACAACACCGAATAGTTATAATTTTTGAAACAGCTTTTTTGAGGTAAAACTGACATACGATAAACTGTGCATATTTAAACTGTACAGCTGAATCAGTCTTGGCACATGGACACATCTGTGAAACACCACTGCCATTAAGATAATAAATATTTCCATAACCACTAAGCTTTCTTTAGACCCTTTTATAATTGTCTTTGTCCAGAGGCAACCACTGACTTACCAGAACTAGTTTACATTTTCTAGAATTTTTATATGTAGTAATCATGTAATACATACTTTTTGATAGAATACTCCTAAAATCTTTCGTAATTTTACCTGTGAAAAAAAATGTCCCAGAAAAAAATGGGGGAATTTTAAGACAGAGCTAAAAGAACACATAGCTCTTGTAACTTGTCATTACACATTTGAGCAGTCATTACTTTCCAGGGTCCCTTGTGTACATATTTGCAAAATTTGTGATGAGCAAAAGGCCTCACCTGCACTGAACACGTGGCTGCAATAACTCCATCCACTGGGGTTTCTGAGAAGGGATCAAATGTTCTATCTGGCCGCCTCATGAAGTCTGGTTTGAGAAGGTAGCTGGTAGCACAGAAGTACAGAAGACGCTTTATAAAGACTCAAACACACACAATCTGAATACAACTTGGTCACCACCTATAACTTAGCAGCTAGTGGTAGGTCAAGGGTTGTAAGGATGAAGAGATTGATTTCCCCTTTTGAATAGACCTGAAGAGCCATGATCAGTCACACCTGCCTCTGAGGGTCAGTTGTATTCAGAGACAAGAAGAACTTAATGAGGGAAATGAAGAACCCTCTTCTGACCAAAATGTTAGGCAGGCCCCTGAGTCATTTCTGACTTAGCCAGTCTTGGGCTTCCTTCTCTGCCCAGGCAGAATCCAGTTTGGGAAAGAATCCTGCAAAGTCACTGATTAATATGTACTTCACCCTTTTCTTCCAAACTACGTAATTTTTATTTCTTTCAAAGCACACAACAGAAGAAATTGTAGTACATGCTCCAGATAAGTACCTGGTGGGTGACTGAGGAAAAAGCATTCTTTCTTGTGTGTGTGTGGGGGGGGTGGGGACACTGGAAGATGACCGTCCATCAAGTAGGCAGAGGTACAAAGTGTGCACTTTGAAGAGCCATTTCTAGATCACAATTGCTAAAAAACTGTATTTTGACTGGTGGTCTTGGGTGCTAAAAATTAAGGTGAGTCACCATCAAAAACCTCCTGACTGTAATCTTTTACAGAACTCCCCTGAATGAGTCTAGAGACTCTGAGCTGTGGTCTAGGGTTATTTACTTATATGCTGTTTGGGGAAGAAGCATGGAAAAAAATGGCTATCAAGGTTTCCTTTTCCTTTTTTTTTTTTTTTAATCTCCATAGAATTCTAACTTCATATTTTCCTTTGACTTTTCAGCATGTCAATGGAATTTATATTTCCTATTTCACTTCTGGGCTCACAGGTTTTGGCAGAACTATTTAAGTAAACTAGAACATTCATAGTATTATTTATTGATAATGTCTATTTACAAGTCATGGAAAAGAGTCAAGAGAAGAAAAAGATTTATTCCCACCTGAACTAAATTAAATTCAGTGTGATACTTACAACTTCATTTTATATGAAACGAAATTCATTCTTATATTTGGTGTCAATGAAAAATAGATATATTTAATATCTATGTCTTCAATTAATGTCCAAATATGAGCAGGGATCATTACCTACCCCAGATATAAAAAACACAACTATTAAAGAGGGAATTAAAGTACAGCGTGTGGATGATGAACTGCTAACTTTTTTAAAAAAAATCTGTTTAGGTAAAAACAAGGCAGATGAAGAGTGTATATTTGCAAATATAATCTATCTAGGGGTTTCATTCATTTCTATCCCATCTCTCAAACCCAGCTTACATTTAGCAGTTCCTAATTAAAAATGACACAGTTTTATTATTACTGTAGTATGGAGATGAAGCTAGGTGACAACAGTTTAAATCACATTACTCACCCGCACGATCCATTATACTCAAATTTTCCCTGATTCAATTGCATCGCTAAATCTGTCAAAAGACAAAAACAATTTAGCATCTCATCTTCCTGAACAAAGAAGATCCAGACAGGGTGATTTTAAACAATGGAAATGAGGTTGTTCTTCGGCCCAAAGGTTCTCCTTTAACAGTGCAAGATACCCCCGGCTCTGTTTAACATGTAACTCTCATGTAGAAATGATTTCATGTTTAATTTAAATTAAATATAAAATGTACTTTCATAAATATCATCCTAGAACTGCTTTAAAAACTAGATTAAATGCACAAGTCATGATTGTTCTTTTAGTACTGAGGGTAGAGACTCCACTATCCTTCGAAAGGTATGAATGTACCTTTCCTAAAGATACCCACAAAGCTCCAAAAGATTTAAAAATGAATGAGGTAAGGGCCATAGAAAAACTGGTGACTTATTCTCAGTGTGAGACTTAGGGAAACCTTCTAGTGGGCTTGCCACTGTCAGGGCCTGGCTTCTAATTTTTCTCTTGCACGTAACTAAAATTTTTCTTTCTTCTCATCAGCAAAATAAATGGGCAAACAGATGGATTTTTTTTTCTTCTTCAAAATGTGGTTAGTCTTGACATTCTAAACTAGATTACAAGTAGCTCTAGTGATTTAATGGCTTTAGGATCCTGTCATTCCTATGACAGATTCACTGGCAACTAAGAACATAACCGGATCCCTTTGTAAGTAAAAATAGCACTTTCCTTGCGACTCTTGAAACACTTGGGATGTACTTATACCCGGTCACAATCTAATGTAGCCAGCACACACAATGGTGACCCTGTAGGGGGAGCTTCTGGAAAGGAAGGAGGCTCCCCAGGAGGTGGCACCTACGCTCTAGCGGAAGGAATAATAGGCAAAGGCTTTCGGTACACGGAACAAGGTGCAGGGGGATTCCTGTATTACGCTTGGTGCCCTAGAAAGGGTCCTCAAACTGAGAAATATGGGAGCTACACTCATATTTCAAAGAACTGAAGAAGAAAAAGGTTTTTGTTTTGTTTTCTTTTCTTTTCTTTCAGGTTTTGTGTTACCAATTTTCAAAAACTAATCACATAAATTAAAAGTTTATGCGACATTCTATCTATTCTATTTTTCTATCTCTAATTTGACTATTGTGATCTCAGGCTCTTAAAGAAATGTTGAAAACTTCTAAAAGTTTGTTATAAAAATTTACTAGTCTTTCAAGGAAAATAAAAAGAAAAATTATATGTTAGAAACTTGTCTCTGAGTACACTTTGGAGGATTAGCTTATAGATTATTACTTCCTAATGTAACTCTTCACAGGCCATTTTAGGGGACCTTACTCTGTAACATTCTGTCCCTTTATAATGCGGTGCTACTATGTCATTGATATTCTCTGAATGTTCACTCTGGCCTGGGTCATTTCCAAAGGAGAATAACTCCTAGATATTGTACAAAGATACTGAAATTCTTTTTGCTCCCTTCTCCACCGGGAAAGAAACATAACAAGTTTGATCCAAATGGAAGAAAATTTAGAACTACTTTGGAATAGGGGGTAATGGAATTTATGAAAGGAACTTCAATTTAAATCAAAATATATTGTCTTCTACCACTGTCTTATTGCTCTATTTTGGGGATTTTGATTTCTCACCATTATATAAGTGCAAGAAAACAGTTTTGCTTGCCATATGTCTGCTTTCTTTTAAAAAAGATGCTTAAAGCTAACTGATGGGAGATCCCAGTACCACCCTGTCCAAGTGTTCTCGTGAGTGAAATTCAGTGTCGCTGGACGTGGGCTCCTACCTGGGGTTTGGTAGTTCAGCGAAACCATCTGGCAGCCAGCGTTCCAGAAAATTTGAGGCATGTAATTACTGGAATCAACTCGGCCTCCCTTGGGGTAAATGCGACTCATTTGCCGTTTGTTATAACTGTGTGACTTATTAAGGTCATCAGAAAAAACAAAAAGAAGAGTACTGCAGCTGAGCTAAATAAACAACAAGGAAGTAAAATAACAGCAGTGTAGGCCCACAATGACAAACACGTAGACAACACAGAACAAATTTTACACTTATCAATGTTTACGAGAAAAATCACAGTTCACCCTGTGGATTCTGTAAACAATGCAAATCTGGAAGATTGGCTCTGCTGCCAGGGTCTTCCATGTATATTATTTTATTGCTTCTATGACCAATATTATGTATTAGCCACTGATCTATTTCAGAGATTCCTGCCAAACCAAATTGCACCAACGTCTCATTCTATTTAATGTATAAGGATACTTTACAAATTCAATTGCATGTGTCTTCAAGTAGCCAAGACCGACTGACTCATTAAAAGACGACATGTTATAATGAATATTCCGTTCTGTAAAAGAAAAGCAAAGATGCATTCAGAAACCCTGCCACCAAATCCTCCCAGAAGGGCAGGCAATAAATATAATCACATCTGAAATCATAAGGCATTATCGGGTAATGTTACCCGGTCATGTCCGTCTCTCCTACTTTCTTTAACATCCCATAGATAGAGATGGCTGATTTAAAATAAAAGTGTGCCGAATTAAATTGGAGTCATTAAACAAATTACTTGCACTCTGATTGCCATAGCCAATCGCGAAGTACGAATTTGATGACTTCTCCAGCACAGAAAAGATTTTGAAAACTCTTAAAATATTTCTTATAGTTTCAGAGACCAACTTCCGGTTAAAAGGAAGTCTTGCGCCGTAGGACACCGGAGCTTATCGTTCCCATTTCACTGTAACATCGCACCCACTGACATGCTTCCCTCTATCCCGCTAGCCCTACACCCCCAGGTCTCGGGTATCCACTAATTGTCAAATGTATGCATGAATCCCGACATTACAGCACAGCATAGCTCATAAACTTGCACAAGTATGAGACAATCAAAAAATAAATTAATTTTTGGAAAAAAGAAAAGGAAAGCAAGCTGTGAAGCACGAGAGGCTAACAAGTCCACAGTCTCTCATCGCCACCGTGTGGACAACGTGGAAAATGACAACACAATCTTACGACATGCCAAGGACCTATGGCTGTAAGGGCTGAGCCAAAAATGAAGTGGAGGGTAAGAAAAGGAGAGCAAGCATGATCAAAGCACCACATACGCACACGTGAAATGCCACAGTGAAAGCCCTTAGTCTGCATAATGAATGTAAGCAAATAATTAAAATTAAAAACGAAACTAGGTGGAGTGATCTTCATGCCTAAAAGGAAAAATGGCAACAAGTCAAATCAGAGCTCAGCAGCATAACAAAAGAGAAGCAGACAAAAAAGACCATTGCATTTAACCTTTGGTGTTACCTTCTGCCACGTGGAAACCTTGAAACTTTACAGGCTGTGCGTAGTTGATCATCGTGGACAAATACGGGTGGATGTTAGTGGTAGCACCTACGTACTTATACGACGCCATCCATGCCTGCTCATCTTCCACAGTAACCAGGCCCTGGGAGCACAAGGCAGAGGACAGATGAGCTGAAGGCTCCAGGAGGACTCAGGCTGCAGGCTTCCTTGCCGAGGATAAATTCCACACACCAATTCAAAGGTAAAAGACCTTTCTGTGCCTCGATTAGACGGAAGGAAATTTTAAAAACTTAATGTCTATGACAGCTCCAATTAATGCAAGAGGAGGCAGTCAGAAAATATCCAGTTTATGTTACATGTTTAGGACATTGCTAGATTTCCGATGGACTTTAAAATGCCGAGGAAACTATGTTGGGGCCTCACAGCAATGCTATGGGACACATAAAGCAGTACAAGCATTCATATTTCAGGTTGAGGCATATAATAAGAAATGGTGACTCTCAAGCTTTAGCGTGCATCAGAATCACAAGGGTATGTTAAAATATTCCTGGGAGCCACAGATGGTGGTGCATGCATATAACTACAGTATTGTGGGAGGCTGAGGCAGGAGGGTTGCAAGTTTGAGCCAAGCCTGAGCAACTTAGCAACCTAGGGAACCCTCTCAAAAGAAAAATAAAAATGGCTGGGATATAGCTCAGTGCAAAAGCCCTCAGTTAAATCCCCAGAATCCCCCTTCCACCCCTCCCCTCAAAAGAAGATCCCTGTGTCCCACCCTTGGAGTTTCCACTAAAGTGGGTCTGGGTGAGGCCCTTGTATCTGCAGTTGTACATCTAGTTCTCAGGTGCCAGTGATGGGCCAGCCTGGGGACCACACTTTTTAGGACCATTGCTCTAGAATTTCAGCCACAAATATAGTGGTTATGCAAGCCAGGTGTGATGGTGCAGGACCATAATCCCAGCTCTTGGGAGGCTGAGGCAGGAGGATCGCTGCAGATTTGAGGCCAGTTTGAGCTACGAAGTGAGTTCAAGGACAGCCTGAAGTACATAGTGATACTCTGTCTCAAAAAAAAAAAAAAAACCCAAAATAAACAACAACAACAAAAACAAAAATAGAGACTTATGATATCTTTTTAAAGCACTTATTCTTAAAATAACCTGATCACTTGTTACAACAGACCATCCAGAAACTGTGTTACTTTGGACGGAGGAAAAAAACACATTATTTTATTGATTTCTTGAGAAATCAGAACAAAATTAACAAAACCTACAACAGCAATGGCAGCAAAACACAATCTTCAGAATATATTTTTGAGAACTTTGGAAAGCTCCATTTTCTGCACAAATTGAAACTAAGCGAATCAATTGTTTAGTCGTGCCAGGCAACCCTCAAATTAACAAACAGGCAGACCATTTGTTTCGCTTTGATGACTTAATATTCTGAGCATTCTAAATCACACTGATTTCATCAATTAAAACATGAGATAAATAACCAAACAATGTAACTGGGTTTTGTTCTTATCATTTTCCTTGTATGTCCCAACCCCCATCACCTACCCTCACACATAAGGGCAGAGTCCAGTTCTATTCTTTCTTATATACTGAAGGATATAATACAAAAATAAACACCAGTTCTAGGTGCTGGGCGCCAGGATAAACTGCTGCACTCACAAACATATCACTGTGTGAATGTGAGGGTCACAGCGCGACCCGTTCATCACGCGAGAAGCCTGAGACCTTAAGGGTTCAAGAAGATAGCAATAAGCGTCAGTCAGGTTGTTCACTGTGGCTCCACTAACTATGAAATTCTACTCTATGAGAAGAGCGTTTCAATATTTTGAGAGAGGAAGTGATCAGATTTAACCATAATTCCTTTGAATTGAATATTCAGATAGTAAGAAGAGCGTGTCTCACTGCAAATGCAGTAAGACTCCACTGACAGAAAGCTCTATTTTCCTTCTTTCCCCCCTTTTCATTAATATGTTTGCAATGTTGGGAGTTGGTACCTACACTTATCACATTTGGATCCTTTTTACTTCCTGTCCTATATTTTTTGAAGCATAGGACTCAAGGGAAAAGGCACGTTTCTGCCAGAGAACAGTCTCTGTTACCACATGCATTTATTTCGGACACTGTAATCGTCATGAAAAATCTTAAAGAGGTAAAAGAAAATGAAAAGGTAACTTTACCTTGTACAGAATTACAATACAGCTAATGTCTAACAAATTAAAAAAAAAAAACCCTGAAGGTATGCAGCTTACACTTACAGTTAATTAACGATCTCTTTCAGGATGCCAGTGTGTCAGAACCAAAATCACCTTTCTATTTCACTATAATGTGGTCTAATGACCTATTGAGGTCATTTTAAATTTCAAACTCAATATATGGATGATTATGTAGCCCAGTGCTAGAACTACAATCTCTAATTCCAAGTAAGAAAATGCCTTGGTGCATTAGGTACCTATTTTAAAATTTTTCACCTGTCCTACTCTTGTGCTTTCATCAGCATTTAATCATTTTATCACGGTAATTAATTATTTCCTTTGAATGCTTATAGGCAATCGGGTGAATTAAGTTTGCAACATAATATCTAAGCACTAAGCCCCACCACCAAACACCCACTGGTGATGGGGGGAATAAAGTGCCAACAATAACACTTTATACAAAATGTTAAATTTTGGAGGGCCACATACAGAGTGTTCCCTAATGAAAGCAAAAATCCTCAAGAGAATTATTTTGTTACCTTTTTGTTGTTCTCATGTTCAAGGTCATCTGAAGTCTAAATTAGAAAAAGAAAATGATTTGTTTACTTCTCTAAAGGGCAATGTTCCAGACTTATGAGCCAAACGTATGGGATTCTTAAAATAAATATATTATATGTGTTATTCTTTTTATTTGTAAACATGGGAAATTATCAATGACATAAAGCCATGAGCAAAAAAAGCAAGAACTGAAAAGATAAACTGGGCATGGTGGTATATGCCTGTAATCTCAGCACTCTTGAGAGGTTGAGGCAGGAGGGCTGGGAGTTTGAGTTCAGCAATTTAATGACTTAGTGAAACTCTGTCTCAACATAAAAAATGAAAAGAGGGCTGTGGATGTGTCAGTGTGAAGCCCTGGGTTCAAGCTCCAAAGCCATGGAAAAAAACAAAAAGAATGGAAAAGATATGATGACCTCATCACTGTACTCCAGAAAAGCTCATCTTAAAGCTGTTTCCCTCTTTTGCTTCGGATTTTCACTTACTTAGCTGCTTCACTGCGATAATTTAAGTAGTGACTTAGTTTGGGAGCTTGGGAAATGGGCAATCAATGTAGTTGACTCTCCTGATACAAAAGGCAGTGTGATCAGTCTTCAGTCATTCGGAGCTCACTTCTGCACTCTTGCTGTGGACCCAATGTCTACATCCCTACGAAATTCAAAGGTTGGAACCTCATCCTCAAAGTGATAGTGCAGACAATTCCCAAGTTAATGATGGCTTGACTTATGATCTTTCAAGTTTTATGGTGTTACAAGAGTGATTTGTATGCAGTAGAAACTGTACTCAACTTTGTTTGAATTCCTGCCTCACTGGCAATAAAATGTGGTATGAGGCCCGCTTGCAGTGCTGGGCTATGGCAGAAAGTCACAGCTCCTAGTCAGCCGCACAATCAATAGGGTGAACAGCTGCTGCTCTATAGCTTGTGGGGTAATCAAAAAACACAGACTCTTTAGATTAAGAAAATTATTGCAATAAGAGACACATAGCTATTTTTCCCCTCAAAATGCTTCTCCTTGCTTTAAACACACTTAGCCCATAGTCCTTGCCACTTTCCAAAGCAGTTCTGGAAGCCATCTTTTGTGAATATCTTTATGAAGTGTGATAAAAGAATTCAGTGAACGCTATTGCTGAATGCTGGGCATCATCTAGTGGAAAGGCAGACTTCTAAAAACAGCACAGTGTGTCTTCACCCACATTATTCCCCGGATCTGGCACTATGTGATTGCTGGCTCTTCCTCAAAGTGAAAATGACCACGAAAGACAAACATGTTGAATCCATTCAGGACACTAAGGCAACCAGAGCAGTGTAACTAAAGACACTCATGAAAGAGAACTTCCAGAACTGGTCCAAAAAGTGGCACAAATCATAAGGGTGCTTGAAGCAGGGGGGCATATTTTAAGGGGGATTAATGACAATGTATGTTTTACTGTAATAAAAAATTTAAATATATACTGTATTTTTATCACACCTCATATTTTGTGGTTCAGCCGTGTTTGCCAGGGTAAATATATTAAATGCATTTTAATTTATGATATTTTCTACTCATAATGGGTTAATCGTAACCCCATCCTAAGCCATGGGGGGGTCTATATTTGGGGGTAGGGCCTTTGGGAGTTAACTGCGTCACGGAGAGCCCTCATGTGGAAATAGTACTCTCCTGAGAAGACAGAGAGGAAGGCTGCATCCTCATTCTCTCTCCACTATGTGAAGATACAGTTTGGAAGAGAGCCCTCATCAGTAACTGACTGGCCCACATCTTGATCTTGGATTTCCCAGCATCCCGAGCTCTTCAGACATACATTTCTGCTGTTTAAGCAAATCGGTCTATTATATTTTTGTTGTAGCAGCACAAACTGACTAAGACAATGTTAATGAAGCTATTATGTAGTAGTACAGCGACCTTCTTTGAAACTTGGTAGCTGTCCAGATTCTCCAGAAATCATAATTCTCTGCATCAGAAGAGATGGCAACATTTATCAACATTTATCAGACAAATACTCTCCAACTTTCCCACCACTAAAATCTCCATCTACCTCATCTACCAACCTCCCTGTTCACTTCATTAACAAAGCAACTAACCCTGCGCCTCTCAAAGACCACACCTTTGCGTCACCATGGTCCCATCTGTCCCATCCTCTTGAAGAGACTTACTCTCCCTCGCCCATTTGCAAGTCTAATCTCTGCCTCTCTACTGTACCATTTCCAACAGTTTCTGAACAGCCTCCAGATTCAGTCATCCTAAAAAGAATACTCCCTTGAGTCTTCAAGTTTCCTTTAGCCACCAGCCTACTCCTTACTCCCTTTCACAGGAAATCTTCTCAAAAACAGAGCCTCTACTTATTCACATCTGCTCCGGTGCCCCTTTACCCCAAGCATCTCACTGAAGCTTTTCTTCAAGGTCACCAGTGACCACTCTGCCAATCCAATGGTCACTCTTGAATCTTAGTAACTCAATAGCATTTGAGCACTCGACCGCACAGGCCTTCTCTTAACACTGTTCTGATTTCCTTGGTGCATGATTTGCCTCCTACTTGTCTGGCAATATTTTGTACTTCTTTTCTGTCCCTCACCTGCAAACTCACTTTTAACTAGGGCTCCAAAGAACCTACTTAGGTACCTTCTCCTTGCAGATCATCCTATTAGTTCTATGGCTAAGAATGTGATCTCTTGAACTCCCAACTTATATCTCTAGCTAAATCTCTCTTCTAGATACAGGTGATGGTGATGCTACTGATAAAAATGAAAACAAAGATGAAAAGGATGATAATAAATCAGCAGTTGAGATTTTCATAGGTGCTACCATGTGCCAGGCACTATTTTAAGTTCATTTGCTGTTCTTGGTGACCCAATGAAGTACATTTTACTATCTTCATTTTGTAGATAGGAAACTAAGGAACAGAGAGGCTGAGTAACTTACCCACGAGTAGACAGGGAATGAGCCCAGAGAGACAGATGTCTGTCAGTGGTTGGCACCTCCTTGGACTATCAGATCACCTATCTTATTTGAAACTCCTAAGTTATTTCTTGTCCAGTCTTATCCACTCTGAGAAATAGAACCCAGTTTCTCAAACAAGGACTCCAGAAGGTCATCTTGCTGCTTCTCACCGTGCCTCAATGCCCAGATGAATTCCGCCGGGTTCTGGGTGCACGTCACCTTCTTTAATACCCCTTGGAACCATTCAGTGCCCCCTGTTTCTACTGTCCTGGCTTCTCATCAGGGGCTGTTTCTGGTCTAGTGACAGCGTATTCTCAATGTGCTTCTTTCCTTCTAAACTAGTACCCATATGGAAATCGTTACAATCTTCTAAAACTCAGCTACACTGTCCCTTTCTGTGAGTTTCTCAATGGCTTTACATTTCACTTACATTCTTAATTTCTTATGCTATCCTCTCAAGTCTTTCATCATCTAGTTCCTGCCTGCACCCCATTACTTTGGTTTCACTCCTTATTCTGTATACTCTACTCTACGTGACTGTGTTGTTATTACTGTGGTCCCTATACACAGAAAGTTATTCTTCTACTTCTGCATGTGACGATTTTATTTTTCTCCTTTGAGGTCTAGTTGCCTTCTTCCTGCCAACTCACTGTTTTACATTTTAGTACTCATTTTATTTTTATAATAGCACTTGTTTTTTGACTACTGTGCTTCCCCTGAACTATAGCAGACTATATATATATATATATATATAAACTATATATAACTTTATATATATATATAAACTATAAGCCACCTAAAGGTAAGAAACAAGTGTGTTTTTACCTTTTAAGTGATTATGGAGTAGGCTGTGCCTGAAAAATAGTGGTTACTTAATCACTATCGTTCTCTGCTGAGTGGTTGGAAATAGCTTTTTTTTTTCTCTCATTTTACTCTCTCATCTCCCCTGTGAGGCTTTTGTCACTCCACTGACAGCTGCAATCTCAGGCCCAGGGAGACTCTGTATACTGACTGTGGCCACACAGCTGAAAAGAGACAGAGCCAGGGATGGTACATGGACAGTTAGGATCCAGATCCTATTCAGAATCCTGGCACCATTCTGTCTGCCTTAGGAGGCAAGGTTCATAATCTTCTCACTCAGATGAGCAAAGTGAGGATCAGAGAGCTTAAAACACTGGCCACAGGGCACACAGCTAGATAAGGCAGAAGTTGGGCTGAAACTGTTCTGCACCCAGCCCTAGGAGCTGCTCTGAGTCTCCCGCACATTTCTGTTCTTTCCACCTGGAGGAGGAAACTTGGGCTCAGAGCAGGGAAACAACTGGTCCAAGGCCATGTGGCCTGGGAGTGCTGGGCCTGGCTGTCACATCCCTGGGCCCTGGCCCCTCCTGATACGCAGGGAACAGAGGAAGAGGGCTTCCTGGAAGAGGAAGTCAGGATCCTTTTCCTCTCTGTGCTAGATCTTCAGTTAAACAGTGTGAAAGTGGGGCTAAATTTGAGAGTTACCTCAACTCAGAGGAGGCAGCAGCAAAAGGAGAAGGATGACTCAAGCAGACCCCTGCCAAGGCCTGAGGGCTCGATGGGCCCTGCCCCCACAAGACAGGAGTCAAGAGCCGGGAGCCTCCTACCCTTCCTCAGAGATAGATGTCCTGTGTCTGCAAGGAGGAGCCAAGGGAAGGAGAGCACTGCGCCCACAGGAGTTTAAGATTAGGGAGAGATGCATAGAGGTGAGACCCAGCCCTGAAGGAAGCAGGCAGTGGAGTGGTTAGGTGACGGCCCCTTAGGACACTGTGGAAATACAGGGAGGAGTGAGGGAACTGACTTCCAGGAGAAAGGAAGATAGAAGAAAATTCCCAGGGAATGAGGGATGCTGGTGAAGCCTTGTAGCACTTGTCACAGGGCAGTGGGCCTGACAGCATGTGTGAGGTGTCCCTACCACCACCCCTGCAGTGCCATGGAGGAGTCAGGCCAGTTCTGCACTGTAAGAGTCCTCTCCACCATACTCGGGGGTCTGGGGAAACTCCCTTCTCTAGAAAGAGAACAGGAGAAACCGCCCAGGTGGGGGCCAGGACTGTAAGTCTTACATTTGGACAGGGGTGCGGACAGTTCCACAGCCAAGGTCAGGATGCTGTTGGGTCTGTCTAGACTGGAAGATCGGGTTGCTAAGGCTTTGCCAGGGGCCAGATGGGGCTATTCCCTTGGGAGACTCCTTCCTAAGACCAGGCTGGGGTCAAGGGACAATCTCTGCTCTCAGACACACACAGGCCAGGGCGGAGACATCCTGACATCCTCCTTACATTATGATTCCCCACACTCTCTGATCACGTGGCCAAGGTCAGCATCTGGACTTATTCTTATGTTTCCTCTCCTCTAGGAGGGACACTTTTATTTAGTAGAACTAGTTGTCTAATGGAGATTTGGCTTGGGGCGCTCAAGAGTCATCTGCCTGATGATTCCAATCAGCCAATCTCTACCCCTGAGATGCTGCTGTTGTCCTCTTGTCCACCTACCATGGTGCGATAAACAGATACTTACAGGAGACTTCCCAAATGGGTAGCGGTCAGTGGTGGGCATGAATAATAAGCAACTGAAATTTCCTTTTAAAATCAGTACTGTGTTTGTGTCAAATTCTGGTCACTAGTAGATACTTACATCCTGAGCAGCTAGAAAGAGAATGATGGGCTACTTCATTCTCTCGTGACTGTCATATTTTCACAGTTTCCCAACAGCTGCTACCCCTGGAGAGCTATGAAAGAAAAGGGACAGGAAGACTCTGACCTTCTTGACGCTATTGGCAACAGCTTCTTTATGACCCAGGTCATCTGCAGAAAGTTCATTTCCAAATTTGAATTCGGGGTGAGCTTCCTCCTCCTGGTCAGCTGAGGGAAAGACAACAGAAAAATCCATGGAGCCAAATAACATCTAAGCAGTCAGTCCTTGCTTATAACCTAGTGTAGAACATGACAGAAGGTTTCTCTACTTTATAGTCTGTCAACAACATTTGGAAATGTCCCATCATCACTGTTAAATTTCCACTATGTACACAGGTTGAACACCCTTAATCTGAAAATCTGAAATCTTAACTATGAAATGTTCTAAAATCCTAAACTTTTTGAGCATCACATCAGCACTGGAAAGATTTTGGAATTAGGAGAACTTGGGATTTAATATTTTTGAATTAAAACATTGAACTAGTAGCTTCTATGCAATTATTTCAAAACCTAAAAAACTCTAAAATCTGGGACACTTCTAGCTCCAAGCATTTTAGATAAGAGATTCTCAACCTATATGCTTACCTCACTTGCTGAGCCCAATGTAAACTACTTGAAACCAAGGAGTGTGCCCTATCCAAGTGCTTAACACTTAATAACTACCACGTTGAAAGAGGACATAAATTTGTGTTGTTATTCCCTGAGTATACCCGTACTGTAGAGACACATGCCAGCCATATACAATTTTGTATCCTCCACTGCTTGCCTCATAGTCATGGACAGACACATGATTTTTCTAAGAGTCTTTCCTCTTCAATACAGCCACAGGGTAGGCCTGCCCTCTTGAACCTTGCTGGTTTTCCTCTTTCTTGCTCTATTGATGTATTTAAACCAGAGATGCTAACTACCCATGCATAGTAGGATTATAGTGTGACAGCAAGATAATTACAGCCAACTGGTTGACAAGAACTGAAGCCAAGTATAAGTGAGGGAAGCTCAGAATCATATGCCTATCTGGGACAGAAGGGGCCTCTGTGCCCTTACAGAGAAATTCAGTGAATTACTCTGTCTTTTCGTGTATTTTTTCCCACAATTTATTGTGGTTATTTTTGTGCAAAACCTCCAGTATATTTTGTGCAAATCCAGGTGTCACTAGAGGCAATATTTTTGTGCCTGGAAGAAAAATTAAAATATGTGTGTAGAAGAAGAAGGGAAAGTACCGACGAGGATGACGGTAGAGTCATATCGACCCTTATTTTCGATTATTGTGTGTGGTCAGGAAATATCACATTTGACTTTGAACAGTTATATTCTTTATTCTTTTGAAAATATTTCATAAGCCATTTTGCATATTTGTGTACTCCAGTGTCTTCTATATTACAAAGGCAGCACTGCAAGATACAAAAGGTTGTGACACCATAGTCAGACAATTCTGGGGTTGAATCTTAGTGCCCCTGCTTTGAAACTGTGCCATTCTGTGTAAAAGAGTCCACCTTGCTAAGCTTCAGTGTCCACCTCTGACAAATACAAGGACGCCTATTTTGCGAGGCTGCATTGAAGATAAGTCAGAAAGACTGTGTAAGCTACCTGGTCTACAGTGGGTACAGTTATTATTATTGTTACCGTCAATATTTTTTCTTGTTAACATATTCAATGATTTCTGCAGTTTATTTTACCACATTGTAGTATCAATAATACCTTACATGTTTTGGTTATTATCTATGAAACATAAACTAAGTTAAGGAACCAATTTTACTTAATAATCATCCTTTGCATTTTAGGGGTATTTTGTTGATCTTTTAAAATACATCTTTTTTTTAGTCTTTTATTTCTTCAATCTTGCCTAAGTTTATTGTTTGCAAAACTGAGAAATAATGTAATAGACATTGTTACTTTTTGTGTTTTTCAAAGACAGCTGTGTTGACTTCTGCTCTCTATGTTTCACCCACAATAAGTCCTGGTCACTGACTTGGTCCCTTGAACTTGAGCAGCCCTAAGACTATTTTGATGAATAAAATAGGGAGGAAGTGATACCAGTTCTAGCCATAGCTTTTAAACAATTTAGCAGCTCCTACATCCCGTCTTTTGGGGCACAGAATCTTGCATATGACATCCAGGAACTTACCACTGTTCTGTAAGATCCCCAAGCTATACATGGAGGCTGTCACAGAGTGTTCTGTTTATTAGGCCTGGCTGAGCTCCCAGGAGACAGCCAGCACAAACTGCCAGCCACCCTGGATAACCAGTTCAACAGAGCCTTCTGGCAAAGCCACCCATGATCTCATCTGTCAGCAACTGCACAGAATACCCAAGGGAGAACCAGCAACCTCCAGGTGATCCACACAATGATGAGAGACCACTGTAAGTCTCTAAATCTGGGGATGGTTTCTTACACAGTAACAGGTCAGCATTACAGGTATCAGTTGAGTAATACCAGATATCTTCGGCCTCCCAGATTTTCCTTGACACATAAACCTATGAAGGTAAATAATCGTGACTTCTCTGCAAATGGAATCAATCTCATAGTTTAGATATGCAGCCGAGCCATTTTTGATGTCGGTTACAGTAAGGAGGCTTTATTGAGGGATTGTTAATGGGATTAATTCTCATAGCTTTCAGGTTTTAAAGATATGTAACTGGCTTTATTAAAATCCTATCTTAGATTTTTGGATAATAAGTGAAGAAAGATCCCACAAGAATTTCTAAATTATTTAGCCCAAAGCCATTACATACATCCAAGGCACTGTATAACTTGTGCAAACCCAAGCCAATTCTCAGGAGACATAGTAAATAGGTAGCTTTCTGAGAACATCCCTAAACTCTCAAATGACCCATTTCATTTTATTTGTATTTTTTAGGTGTGGGGGTGCTGACGTCAAACTCTGGGCCATATATTGCTATGCAAATGTTCTGTCTCTGAGTTACACTTTAAATTTCAAACAAAATAGTATGGTTGTATCTAACGTGGCCAGTGCAAAATAGCAAATATTCAAATGTTTTAAGCAAGACTGCCTTTGCTAAGATTATGCACCTTTATAGATAATTATGGTGAGCTGGTTATTGGAGGAATTTCATTTTGAAATTGAACCCAGGGCCTCTAGCGTGCCAAGTATTCACTCTACCAGTGAATCACTCTGCCACCTCTAGCCTGAACTTTAATTCTGACTTTGTGTTGCTGATTCTCCTTGTGCATATAAACCGATCCTTTATTTACTTAAGCTTCTCTCACTCTGTGCTCCTTGCCTTGTCATTATTATCACTAATAACTCTGAGGTTCAAGGTTTTGCTTACAGGACGAGATTATAAAGTGTACTTATTCCAGCCCCTAGCTGCTACGGCAAGTGCTTCAAGGCCGAGTCTCTGAGTTTCTGTGAAAACAACTGAACTCACAACAGGAAGGGCAATGACTAAGCACTAACATCCAATGCCTAGAGAAACTGGAGGCAAAATTTGAAAAAAAAAATCCAAAAGACTAAAGTTGATCCATACATATGCATCTGAATATTAGGAGTTATGATGTCTTCACTATGCAAAATGATCTAATGAGAAATTCATGTCTCTCTTATTTCACAAAGTAAAATAAAACTCGAAAGAACAACTCACCACTTTCTATTTCCTCTTCATTATCATCTTCTAAGATGTTAGCTGGAGCCGCGGATTCTCCAGCTTCCATCATGCTTTTCAGAGCTTCAAGCTGTTCTGTGATTAAAAAGAAAAACAAGAAGATGGTAACAGACATTAGATCACACGAAAACATGGGCCTTAAAAATCAACACTGGGAAGAAGGAGATGAAGAGGGCTAGCAAATCTGTCTTTTAGGCACCTGCTGGCCATGTTCCTAAGGTTCCAGGAGTCCCTGCCTCACCTATCTCTGCTGGATCTGGCTTCCTAAGGAACAGCAAACAAGTGTGTGGAAGAACAGTTGGTGAACTGCCCCAAATTCTGGTCACTAAGTTTGAGAGGAAGGCCCAGGATTTAGAGCTAGATAAAACATAACTAACTGGAGAAGCTGGGGCAGTTCCAGATTTAAGAATAATGTTGAAGAAGTGAGAAAAAAGAGACATGCATATTGGAGACTGACAAAACTCCAGGGAACTTATTCCCAACTAATATGACTGGGCTTATTTTCCTAATACATAAAAACAGTGTTATAAATCAGTATGATAGAGACAAATAAGGTGATTTTTACAACATGGGAAAACACGTAGGGACAAGTTCCAATGCACAATGTACAAAGAAACTAGCAATTAATAGGTATTCTTGCATATTGGCACAACTTTTCTGAAAGAAAGTACATCAACACACATCACCACCAAAATGCTGCTTTTATTTTCTTTCTCATTTTTCCTTGGGACTCCATCAAATTTCAGCATACGAATATTTTTTTCCACTATGTGAATGAGCTGATATGCAAAGTAAGTTTAAATAGAAATGTGACAATTTTGCTCTGAAAAGTAAACGTAATATCACTATTCCTGTCATTCACCCCAAACTGTGGTGGTTTTAAAATCAATTTCATTTCAGACAGCTGCACTGTCCAAACCCATGGCGTATACGTCTACTGACGTGTGAATATGACTCACTTTTTTCAACTTCGGGTTTCAGCCGTTTATTTTTGATGAGTATTTTTCTTTTGAGGTCATTGGGGGATGGCAAAGGCCTTCCTGGCTCCAGCTGCAGATACAGAAAACCTCAGTTAGTGATGGGTTGTGCTTCTCCACATTCACTCCCAACCCCGATGAGCACTGGAGGCCTGCAGTCATACAGTCCAACATCCACTAGATGGCAGGCAGAAGTTGTTACCTTTTCATTCCCAATCAAATTGGCCCACTGCATTCATTTGCCTTAGAATGACCTCAAACTGGGACTGCATAGTCTCCAGAGGTGTACAGGGCCCGACCAGTGACCAGCTTCCCTACTGGAGCTGGGGGTCTGACACAGATGCTACTGGGGGAGAGGGTCCTGCTCCAGCTCAGACTGCTCAGTGTTTAGGTTTCTGGTAAAGCGCAAGGGATCACTGTGGTGGCGAGGGCTAAAAATGATTTTCTCGGATGAGAGGCTTCCTAGATGGCCCTATGTGCTGGGCTGTACAGTAAGCTTGTCTGCTCAGAAGACTAATCTAACTCAATATCTGGAATTGTGGCTTGGTGTGTTCGATGAGGGGGTTAAGAAGGAAGGGTCTGAATTATTAGAAATCAACTCCGCCATGACTTCATTTGCTTGGGTTTCCACCTGCAAAGGAGGTGTCCTTTTAGGCTATTGCCTCTGGTCTGTCCCATGTCTACTCATCCATTGCCTATTTTCCACTCATCCCCTTCTACCCTCATTTGCCCTCCTTTCGTGTATCGGTGGCCTGCCTTGCAAGCACAAAGACCCGAGTTCAATCCCTGGTACCAAAAAAAAAAAAAAAAAAAAAAAAAAAAAAA